TCTCTCTCTCTCTCTCTCTCTCTCTCTCTTTCTCTCTCCTTCCTCTCTCTATACTTCTCGTGTCTCACTTTTGCTGTCATATTCTCTCCCCCCTCTCTTTCTCTCTCTCTCTTCCTCTCCCTATACATCTCGCGTCTCACTTTTTCTGTCAATTCTCTCTCTCTCTCTCTCTCTCTCTCTCTCTCTCTCTCTCGCTGTCTCTCGCTGTCTCTATTTATCTATCTATCTCTTTGCGGGCATCGAGGAACAGTCGTTTCGCCATTTCTGCAACTTCGACTCTGCCCGCCCGAGGATTTTCAATATCCTCGGAATACGCGGCTCTCTTTGAAATTCAGATATTGCGAGCAAAGGGCCCTTTCGGCGGTAGCTGCACCTCAAATTTGCACAGGCCAGACCGAGCCTGCGAGCAGTCAGTCGACGAAATCATTCAATCCCCGCGATACCGTTGCAACACAGTGCTATCAATCATGCGTGCGAGTGCGACCCCGCCGAGATTGACCTGTACGCGAGAAAGGTTCTCATTTAATGAGATCGGCTCTGCGAATTAATTTCTTAAAAAAAAAAGAGCATCGAACTGGAATTTGCCTCGCGACGATTTTAACGTTATATCGAATTACGATTTACATTTTATAAACACTTGCTTTGTTCTCTGCATGGAACGCGATAATAGACAACGCCGGTATATCCTACATTCTTACAGTATCTAATAGGAATTAAAATTGGAATTGGCCCTAAAATATATTTCGGATATATCAGCGATGAGTTTAGCAACTAATAATTCTCCTGAGCCCTATTTACGAGATTTTAGTAACAAGCTAACGGTGAGAGAACTATAAAGTTGCGCGTGCGTTTCATATTTAGTAAACGCGGTTCCTCGTTGCGCGCCATGTAAAATGTTAACCTCCTGGAAAATGTCGAAGAACATATGCTCGGTGTGTTTAAGGAAGGGCCAGGGTTTGCGTCCCCATCGTTAACACATAATTTCTTCAGTAATGATAAGTGAACGTGGTCTAATCTCAATTTCAATCCGTAGTCTGGATCTTAAAGTCTTGCGTCCACGATGCTGGAAACCGATCCGAGATCTCGATTCGAGAGATGTGATAGCCAATCGACTAGCAACTTTGCCGTAAAAACTGCTTAAGCCCTGTGTCCACGAACCAAGAACTGTGTTCTAGTTCCGAGAGATGTACATACAGCTAATCGACTTGCAGCTTTTCCGCGAAGGATGCAAGTTGATCGGCAAGGCTCTAGCACCTAATAATAATACAACTTTTGCGTACACATTTTCTCCAGCTCAGCAAACCGCGCGCCGAGAAACGATAAGACACATTTCTATTATTCGTGTTATACGTAATTCCTCGCGTTGCGCGAGAAGCATCAGCATGAACATTTTTGACAAAGGTATAGGATTCTGAAGCCTCGTAGAGGCTAGAGACCTCGAACGGGACCTCTTCGATCCTCGTTCCAAGGGAGATCGAAGTCCGATACTAATTTTTCGGTATCTCCCACGTCAGCGGCGAGCTCCGGTTGACGAGGGTTATCGCCGAAGACGTTCCTCAAACACGATCAATATCCCGATGCACCAGGCGGCGTGGCAAAAAGGCGAGGTATTTCCCAAGAATGAAATCCCGCCGTCGACAACGGCGGCGGGATCGACAGTAATTGCCGGCCGCCGGAGTCTGCCGCCGGCCGCGAACTTTGAACTTTCGGGAAACAGTTGCGCGACAATCGATAGCGCGACGAAGAGACGGGGACACCTCGGGCACGACGAGGCCCGGAATCCGGCGCGCTTAATCGCCGCGTTCCGCGGCACGTCGACCGCGCGACGGACGTGTCGCGGGCGGGTCGGGAGGACAAATGCTGACGGATTTTACCGGCGACGGCGACGACGACGGGGTGCACGGGGGTGGTGCCGTGGGTGGTGCTCGCGTGTTTCGCGAAAAAGAAAAAGCGCGGAAGTTCAGCGCGAGTCTCTCGGCGTAACAGGTGGTTAAACAGGGCTGTAAAGCAGCTCGCGAGCGGCGCGAGAAGGGACGCGGGGGCGGGGGGGGGGGCCCGACGGGGCGCGGGGGGAGGGGGAGGGGGGAGTCGGTTGCATCGGGGAGGAAGTCGAGGGAAGGGTTAAAAAGGTCGGACTTCGCGAGGTGCCACAGTCGAGAGATCGCGCGCGGCCCTCTCCTCCGCCGCCGCCGCCCCCCTTCCCCCTCCCCCTCCCACCCGCCCCCTTCCTTACGCTAGCGCATCGCGAATTGCGAGTTAATTGTCCGGATTATTTACGCGCGCGTCACTCCCGTGACTTGCACGGCGACGCCGCGGCGAAATCGGTCGAGCCCGCAGAACTTTCTTTATGCAGGAGAGTCCTCTGTTACGAGACGGGATTCTAACGTGAGGCAAGTAGGCTTTCAACGATCGTCCGATGATCAATTTTCCCGAGGGGGTGACCGCTCGACGCGATCGTGGGACCAGTGTCGCCGAAATCGTTATGAAATCTTCACGAAATCCCCGTGTAATCCTTAATCGAAACCACCGCGTGGATCTCGACGCGACGTTGAGGCAGTTCTTTCCCAACTGTATTATTAATGTATTAGTACACGTATTAATGCGTACTAACATCTAAATTATAGTTTCGCCGCAGGTTTAAAGGAAGTCCGTAACTTCGTCAACCTTGACCTAACTACCTTAACAAGAATTTACGATCTCGAATCGATCCGAGGATCCTATACTTTTCCCTCCCCCGAGATCCCCCGCGCGTTCAACTCGCCGCGTCGTCTGGCGAATTGAACGCGCGAGGGATCTCGGTAAGGTAAGCGGGTTCCTCGGGACGAGCGGATCGTAAAACGCACATCCAGGAGTATCTCGGGGATCCACGAATCCCGCCACGGGCGGGCGCGCAGCGGTCTTAATTAATTCGATCCTGCAGCCCTTCCGTAGCCCGATGCCATTTCCATCGTCGTCGGGAGCACCGTCGCTCGGTGGACTACGGGGGTGGAGGGCGCGGGGGGACGCGGGGGTTCCGCGCGCCTCGGGCGACGAAAGGAAATTGGCTCGGCTCGGAGACGTCCTGCCTCTCGGACGGAACATCCTTAATACCGTAAAGTAA